TGTATGGGCAATTCCACGTTAAATCGCACACTTTCCTCACTTAATTTCCTAGAACTATTTTCAATTTAAGCAGTGAAGCCTGGCAACAAAACTAAAAAAATGTAAAGAAAAAACCAAAAAAGTACTTCTGCCGTATCTACTTCTCGTTATCAAAAAATCGTCCCGAGTCAGAAGTCTCATCAAAATACACTAAAATTGTCCATTTCTGCTCACTTATTTGATTGTAATTTTAAATTTCAGAATATGCCTACTACCGGATCGCTTTTTTTGTTTTTAAATTTTAAGCTCCATTGAGTAACACCCCAGTTTCATCAACAACCAGCTAATGCCACACAGAAGTAACAAAGTTACAGAATCTAGATGAACATCTATTCAAATGAGAAAACAACTTTAAAACGTTGAAAAAGAATTTATTTTCCGTGCTTTTTCTCAGGTTTTTCTAACATGCTCCTCTAAAGGGTGGAACAGAACAAAATTCTTCATACAACATGAAAAAAGCAGGCGGTCTAGTGTAGAATCCCCTAAATATACTACAACAACTTACTTCAACAAATGAACAAATAAAGTTCTCAATGTCTCCCGATGAACTACAGGTAACGTCTTTATTATTTCATCAAATTTTTGTATCTTAGCTTCACCTTTCGGCATCCCTAAAAACAAATAAAAATTTTCTGATTCACGCATAAGGAATTCCAATTTCATTGGTAAGTGAGAAATGAAAAAACTGTAGACAAAAGAATAAGTTCCAGTGGAATAGAAACTTCCTTACTATTTGCTGCTATGAGATCCTTTGAAATATTATGCGGAAATACTGGTTCCGCCAATTCCCGAAAAAAGAGCTTTAGGGCTCCAGTGAGCACATGAATATCTTCTTCATGTAAAACATCTGTGTATCTATCTAGAAAAAATAAATAAAATCAAAGAAACAAAGGAAAGTTAATAAATACTTCAAATATGACGGCAAGCTTCCAAAGGGACTTCTGGCAGAAATGAAAAAATGCACAGACAATAACTGATGCCCATAAAAAGTCAAAAAGGCAAAGCATAACTTTTAATCAAAACTTGCCGTGATCGACGGCACAACGAATTCTCTGAATAGAAGAAAGATTGCCGCTAACTCTGTAGATCCCATCTGTATCCAAACCTAACAGTTCAATTACCTCAGTGACAACAAATATAAATTTTGGAACCAGACTCTTTTCCTGGTGACATATCCCCAACAACGTGTTGCCAAACACTGGTTCTGCTAGAATAAATACACAAACTGAAAAACTCCTTAGCGTAATGTCTGTTTAAAAAGGGTTTCAAAATCCTTGAAACGTAACACTAATATTCAGGATCTCTATATAACAGAATAACTCTAGTCTCAAAGCTGTAACACCAGTCCCACTCATTATTCAGCTAAAACTGAAAATGTAACCCTGCCAACCAAGTCCCAATGAGTAGACTAAATTACAACCTCTCGCCCAACAAATTTCAAAACAAGCGAGTGAAAAAACAGAAAAATTGAAAGAGAACACAAAAGTTTTTATATTCCTTTCACTACCAAAATCAAATAAACCTGATTAAACCTCAATCCTCATTTCAGCCAAAAACTAGCTAAAGAAATGGTTAGTTAAGATCATAATCAAAAAAATGTCTGTCCTGTTTCTTAAAGCCACCTATTAGAAAGTCTTTTAAGATTGAAAAACAAAAGGTCATCGCATAATGCAAGAGTGAAAAAATTTAAAAAATCTTTTTCAACATATTTGCTTCAATGAGTTAAACACTAATTAAGTGCAAAACAGAAAAATTGAGATTAAAAAAATATACTCTTGTAAATGCCTTTCTCTTTCAAGGTTTCTAGAGAAGGACGAGATCGAAAAAAGCGCTTCAATCTGTGTATGATTTTTGCTTTGTTTGGTGCAGCTTCAAGAGCCAGATCATCAAACACAGTGGAAAGAACACCATCTGAAGCAAAAGTAAAATTTTAAAAAAATATTTAAAAACAGAAGGATACTTCCTAAACCATTAACTGATGGTCGACTTCAAATTAGCAGCAATAAACTAATGTTAATAATAATACTGGCAGCCATAACGACGACAAGAGACGTGCAAAAAAAAATTACCTACGTTAGTCCTGCCCCCCGGCTTTTTTTTTGATGAACGACGAACCTGAGAAACACCAAAAGTCGTACTTGCTCCCAACTGAGAGGCACCAACAACCCCCCCACTAGCGCCAGTTTCCGTCCTTTCCAAAACTGCGGTCGTGTATGAATCTGGAGAAGGCTAAAAATGACTTTCAATAAGAGCAATTCTCGAACATGAATTGGAAGACTACTTAGCTAGATACTTAAAAGTTTCACTGTTTCATAAGAAGTGTAACAAAAATCTTCTAGCATTTTGCCATATTTCGTTTAATAGCCTGCAAAACAAATAAGTGACAACAGGTCTCCACAATCACTAAAAAACAGAAGAAAAGAACAACCTGTTTCCTAATCACTCGCTTTATTGCATGGAACCAGCTGTTAATGTCTTGACAATTTAGAGTGTTAAAAAGATACACCGTTCCGTCAATCAGAGTCAACTAAACAATCATAACTTTAAAAAGTGAAAACATGAAGATTATAACAGATCCACGAACACATCACAAAAATACCTCACATTACAATCCTACTGACGTCTCACCTTTAATACATGCTTTCTTCTCTTATCGTCAAACCACTGAAGATTTGCGCCACGAAGTTCGCACATGCCTAACGGAGCTTCATAATGTCTACCCAACTTCTAAAAAAGTGCAATGAAGAGTAACAAAGTGGGATAAGTTTTTCAGTCATAACTACGTTATAATATATACCTCAGCACTTCTAGCATCCTTATAGAAAATCAAATGAGCAGCAGAAAGAAATACATAACAAGACGTCCACTCCTTTTTTTTCAAAGTCACTCCCGCTTCCGCTATCTTACACTAAAAATGAATTTTATCAACCAACGATAAAGTCTTCAAATAAATGACAGCAGGGCTAACCGCTTTAGCTGAAATTCTACGCTACGCACACAAAAACTAAAAGTACTTACAACCCATAGGAACCTTCAACGAGAACAATATCCTAAACAACCGGAATGAAAAACAAAAATGAAGAATCTTTAAAAACTGGCTCAAGGTTACTAACCATATCAAGCGTCCCGCTTCGTAAAATCCCACTCACCTTATCCAGAGTTCCACTTTTCACCGACTTTTGGGACGCGGTTGAGGTAGTACTGCCAGTTACTGCGGTATAATCTCCCGAAAAACTATCTTCCTCTTGAACTGCATCCGCTGCTTCTAAAACCTTATTCTTGAAAACAAAATTAGAAATTAACAAGCTGCTTGAAAATAACTTCAGTACCTTGCAAATAAAAACCCTTAAAAAACTTTTGACGAAAGAAACAACATAAGTGAATATTTCATCAGAAGTTACTAGGATTACCAGAATAAGAAGACTCGGCAATTAGCTCCTCCTCACTAAGTTCAGCCTTTGGTTTCCTTTCTGAACCACTTTTTTCCTGTGGTGCAATCCTTACTCTGTTTTCCCAACTAAAGTTTTGTGTAACAGGTCGAGAATCAAAGCTTTCTATTATCGCCTTAAAAGCTTTCTTTTAAAATTAAAGTGACATAAAAGAACGATGTATAAAGCAACGAACCATGAATAACTGAGAAAATACAGAACTGGGTTTATAGATAAAATAAACAGACAAATGAGTAAACCAATAAAGAAATGAATAAACAAATGCATGTACATAAATATAACCATTTAAAGCATTTATTTGTTAGACAATTTATTTATTCGTCGTCTCTGATCCCAAAAAAAACTTTTCTTCACACACAAAACAGCAATTATTATCCAACTCAAAAATGCTAATAGTGACCTGGATAGAATTTTTTTCTAACAAGCAACGACTCGAAGCTTCTGAAACGTTATTTTCCTTATAACCAATACAAGAGACATTCTTTTGGAAACGTGGGGGCTTCCAACTGCATTCACCGCGCTCTCTATTGAAAAAGTATGATCTAAAAAACTTGCATTAAATTCTAAAAAACTGCATACAAATTTTACTACATCTTGTCATTATTAATAGCTACACAGATTTCGAATCAACAAATTATAGCTGAAGACTTAAAGAAAATAAAAAAGTTTGAGACCTCAAAAGAAAGGAGCCTGAACCAGAACAGACTACCGTTAAACTCTATGAGTCTACACTATGAGAAAATCATACATTTCCCGACTCAGTGACCCACACCCGTCAATAAACTTTTTCAGCTGACCGTAAAACTCTACTACAACTGAAACGCACAAGAGGCATTTGAAGATGATTAACAACCAT